TTTGACCTGATGATATGTTTCCACCTCTTACATATCTATTAATAAGATTATGGAGACAACGTTATAAATATTGTTTATTCTTAACCAACTCAATAGTTTTCTGAACGGTCCCACAGTGTACATATATAGGATTTTCAACATAAAGGCCTACGAGAGAAGGTATTTTGATATCCATTCACGTATAAGTATTGACATTTGTATTTTAAAGTGAATCCATGTAAACTTGATATGCAATGATGGATCTTCGTCTAATTTATTTGACAAATATATATGATATGATAAAGCGTGGGTAGAGCGATATGTAAATTGCCCTTTTGAAAATAATATTATATCAAAAGAATTTCCATAATACGGTAAACAGTAATTTGAATCGATAGTTTTATAAGATTGTATGATACCATTCCATCACTTGTTCTATTTTTATACTGAGAACTTTATCTCTATATGAAATAAGATAGATTGGGATGCAGGAAGTGATATATTAAAAATTGATCGCTTGATCATAGGGAGCGTGTAAAAAAATAACAGGTCTTTGTTGACTTATCCTATAGTTGATATTATCCTTGTTATTTTTTATTGATTTGAATTTATATATCCTTAGGCGACCGCCGCTTTTATTAACTACACGTTTAATATGTTTTATTTATTAAAAGATTAAGATGAGAATTTATTTGACATTCGGATGTAAGGAACTTTTTAAATAGATGACGAGTATCTCTTACTTTTAACTATTATTATTTATAAAAGTTTTTTTTATACTGATTTATCTTTGAGTCAATGTCCTAAGACTGCTTTAAATTCTAAGTATTTTGCGTCATCCTTAATAACGATAGCAATGTCAAATTATGATTACACCTTTTCTGTTGAAATTATTCAAATCGAACACGCTTTTTACAAATGACAGTAACATAAAAAATTAGTAAAATATTTTAATACTCAGTTATTAAAATTATTTTGGTACATAATTCGTAATAAAATTTTAACCATACCAACCATTTTTATAAGGCGTTAAAATTAAATGCTCGAAATGGTCTATTTTTATAATATGTATATTCCCTGTATGAATATCAAAGTTAACGTTATATTCAAACCATTGAAGCCGCAAATAAACGTACAAACAATTTTATAGAGTAAGTATCATAAGGAACAATTTTTAAAAAAGTAACTAAGTACGACTCAATAAGTAAGTGATTTGCCAAAATGAAATACTTTACACTAAGACGTATGGAAATATTAAAAAAAAATATTACATTCAAAAATTATTACATTACAATGTACTTATTTATTTCTTCTGTTTTATCAATGGTACGAGTACATAAATTTTCTTATGTACCATCATAATTAATGACCAGTTTTCAAAACAAACGTGACCATATCAAGTATACGACAGTTGTTCCGACCGGTAACATTTTATTGCCAACAAAACACTATAACAAAGTGACCAAGCTCAGATTGGATGTGAAGATAAGTCTCATAAAACTGTCTTAATTAATTGATAAAATAATCAATACGATGAGCTACTACTTCGTTAAATGACTAATGGTCGAAAACTATTTTATTGAATCATAAAATTTATGATTAGCTTTGATAACGACCGACTTCTTGGATTATAATACCAGATGTATTAAACATACGTGTTATAAATTTTTGCAAAATGAAACAAAAGCATATATGTATATGTATAAAACCTATATCCCATCTAGCCCCATAAGTATTAAAGTAGGGTTACTAAGAAAATGCATAGCCAAATTGTTTATATTATGAAATTAATTTTGATATACGTTGATATTTTTATAATTGAAGATATATGAATAAAAAACTGGAAACTATATTAAGAATACAAACACATGGTAAGAGTTTATACACAAATTTTTAAATACACTCGAATATTTCTGTACATATTTCTTTTAGTTATAGATAATAATCACTCGTGTTCAATAAGATAACAACATATTACAAAAACTTTGATTTAGCAGATACACAATTTCAAAGTTGCAAAAAAGTCCTGTTATATACAGGCACGTTATATTTTTAAGTAATTTTAATATAAGCGCCACGAAGGCCGGCTGGAGATAACTATCTAGAAGAGTTATTTTATATGGGTGAATCATATTTTATCCTAATTCAAATAGTCGTGTGTAGTCAAAACAACACAACTAAATAATCGGTTTATTAAGAAAATTTATGAAAAAATATTCACTGCTAGTTCCTACATCTTTCAAGAGTTAAACACTTTACTATGTATATTACGATATTAGATCCTATCAGACTTCTTTCGCGCATTTGAATTTGCTTTTGATCTCCTTAATTTTAGAAGGATGATTTTGACAGCATGCACGATAGAAGAAAATATCTAGTCGTCCATATTCTTATCTCCATAAGTGGACTTCAAATTTTTACTAAATACGAAAATTTTATATTAGTATCCTCTAAAATTACGGTCTTCTAAACAAACATTCCTTGATTCAATCCGTTCGAATGAAACTACATATTGAAGTATGTAGTTTAATATAACCCAGAATTTTCATCTCATCTGCCCGTGATCACGGTTGCTGTAAAGTAAATTAAACGTCCGGAGTATGTACCTAATTTAAAATAATAAAAGAACGCGAAGTAGTTCGAAAAATAGTCTTATTTAAATGATTACTCGCGAAAGTCTTAGTTCTCATTATGTGAAACTTCGGCTTTCTTTTGTTTTTATAAAAGACATCGCCAGTAATCTACGTTTATAACCAATTGCATCGACTCAGGAAACTCAAATAGAGTAACTCGTATGAATTTTTATATTCAAACAATTACCTCATCAGACTTTTACCTTAAAAGGCGTTTATATTATCAATAATTTGTATTATAACACTTACATTATGTTAAGTTTAAAACATCTAACTATTGTTTTCCTATAATACGATAACAATCAAAATGGCGCCCGAGGCGTCATCAACTGTCACCGATGTAAACGAGCGCATTAAAATGAAACGGCGCAAAGGTAATGGACATAAATTAAACGGTCATTCGTGTCACTCAAAACGAAGGATCTGAGAAATGCGCTTTGACGGAAGCCAGGTAGTTAAGATTGGAAACAAAAATATAGATAACGATGTTAAGATGTTACATTTTATTAGGAAATAACAAAGTGGAGCTAATTTACGTTTTACGTCTGACAGATAGCGCCTGTAATGATAGATGTCGTCTGAGAAGAAAATTAAATTGTAAGGTAATGTATATATATACATACATTCAATAGAACTTAACACCAGGCCTTCAATTCTCAAGCAGATTGAGTTTTTAATCAGTTCAGAAGCGAACAATAGAGCAATAACTGTAGACGCATCGACTTGTGAAAGCTACCACTATCGAAAACAAATAAATCAGACACAACCTAGAACGTTACCTGTATACTGAACAAACAAACGTTAGTCGTAAGTCACTTCTGTAATATAAAACATACCACAAGTTACCCTGGAAGTGGGACATCGTTAGAGTCAACAACATTCGTAACTTCTTATATTTGTAGACATTGCAAGTCCAATTGTGTTTCATGTTTTCAAATCTTATTTACAGAATTGAGTTGCTAAAAAATAGATTTCCGATATAGAATATATCTATATGAACGTTAAAATCATCGAAAACATTCAATAATCATCACTGAATGTCTGCTATTTATATACAACAAAAAATAATATGTATATTGAATAAAAATTAGTTTAGATAACCACAGAATCTACTTTAATTTTAACTACTAAATATGTATTAATATTTCTTCGAGACAATTTTTTTTTATATCCCAATTCGTTATATTGTTATAACTAGCTTTCCGCCCGCAGCTTCGCCGCGTGGAGTTCGGTTATATCGCGTTTCCAAGAGAACCTTTCAAAAGTCTGGGATAAAAACTATCCTATGTTCTTTCTCAAGGTCAACTCTATCTCTGTACCTAATTTCATTAAAATCAGTTCAGTGGTTTAGGCGTGAAAGCGTAGCAGACAGACAGACAGACAGACAGACAGACAGACAGACAGAGTTACTTTCGCATTTATAATATTAGTAGGGATGATAAGACAGCGTTAAAAAATCTCGAATTATCTGTGCAGTAAATGTAATCGTTAAAAATGGTTGCACCCGAATTCTTTCACGACGTATTTCGTAAACACAATCTTAAGGGCATCGTGGCAACAGAGCGAAGAAAGAATTGCCTTCATTGAGCACATTAACGGAAGATTTTTTTAATAAATGAGCTCCTAAAGATTTTATCACTTTCAGTATTTCGAAAGAAAAGTCCGTTAAGTCGAAATAAAAGTAATGAGATAGGCGAATCTTACTTCCCATTTGAAATAATTTAAGGTATATTCTTGTAATGCAGTTATTTAAAGATTAAAATAAAATCGATGTGAATTAATATTTTGCAGTAACATTTATAAAAATTATATTATTAAAGAAATCAACTTATATTAACTTCGATAACTAATCAGCAGTAGCTTTTTTTGTTTAATAAAAAGTAAATCATTTTTGAAGTCATAACTATTAATATCAATGTCTCACGTAAAAAGGCATTTCGAGTTGTCTCTAAAATCTGAAGCACGCTTACATTGTTCACGTCATTTTACGTGATTCTTTCAATTCCTTTATAATTAGACGCGTTCACATGGGTTATCATTTTTACTGACATATAGTAATCAATACAGTATAAAAACAAAAAAACAATCATTTTCATATCAGTGACTAATTCAGGGAAAGAGAAAACAAAAAAAAAAACATAAGAAAAATTAAAATTTATTGGAGTCAAAAGATTATTTAAAAGTACATTTAAATTATGCATAATTACATATTTAAAAAAAAATCAACAATGGTTCATCAAAACTAAAAGAAAGGTCTTGGCAATGGAAAAGAAAGCATGAGACCAACAGAATAATATTATATTCTATCAATTACTTATAATTTAAGCAACTTCATCTGTATTAGCTATTATACTAATATGTTGTATATTAAATTTGCTATAACCAATGTTAATAATCGTATTTAAAATTATAATCATTTGAAGAACGATTGGAGTACGATTGATTAGACTTGTGACGTCGCTTTACTTTCGTTTTGGATTTTTTGCTCTCATAATAATTTTTATCATTGGGTATATTATTATAGGATTTTTTCTTTGATTTTTTACTTTTACTGCGATATACTACTGGTGATTCATCGATAGGTCTTACGATTGTGGAACAATCACCTACTTCGGGAGGCGGTGGATTTTCTCCTAAAATATCAGCGACGTAGTTTTGCCTTTCTATGGCGTATCCTCGAGCATTTTGGAATTCTGTAAAAGTAATTTGTTTTTAATTAACCCAATATATTTTCAAGCTTTATAACCCGAAAAACTGCTTACCCTCTATAGCTTCTTGTGCTGATATTCCGAGTCGATCACGCATGTACCTGCAAACCATATACCCGGTTCTGTTCAAGCCATGAGTGCAATGCACACCGATCAAAAATTCTGAAATAAAAACAAATATCTAAAAAAAAGTATACGAAAATACATAACATGTTTTAAAAATAATATCTTTTTCAATATAATGTCCATCGTTAACCCCAAAACATAAATAACAAGAGTTGAAAGTTATTAAAACAGCCAAAAGCGATCGTCACAGCTGGTCTAAAACAATATAATCACACCAAATGGGAAAACCGAACAAACAAACGAAATTACTTAAAAACGCGATCAATAACTAAAACGGTCGCTGGAAAATAAATGGCGAGCATGTTTGCGTCTTCAAAATCGCACCGCAAACATCGGACAGGGGTCGTTGACTCGCGCCCCTTACACCCCTACACCCTCTGTGAGGAGCGCATTTAAGGAAGGGGGTAGAACGGAAACCGTGGCCGTGGTTTGACACATCCTGAGGAAGACCTTTGGAGTAGGACGAAAAGATTAACAACTGTCTGCAACTCAAATTTCCAACGAAATGACTAGGAAAATAATACTTTCATTATAAAAGTAAGACTTAAAGACTTTCAGTACATCCAGGATAAAAATAAACATCCGCAAATATATGAAATCCCACGATGAGTATTAAATAAAAAATATTCCACATGCAAATCCATGACAAGTTCATTTAACAAAATGCAAGCAAACAAACAACATTCCATTTACAACAATTCATCAAGAGAAGCATTCGCCAGCAACTTAATTAACGGCTAACTCGTTTTTCAATTACAGAAACAAACAATATATATGATAATTGCATAGGAACAAGACATTCAGACATTGCGAGTTAAGAATTCTATTAAACCATTTCCCTGTAAACACATTCGTTGCTATAATGTTGAATGACAATCGATAGTATTATTAATAACATTATGAAATCTATATAATTGTCATATCATTTTAGTGACATAAAAAGATGAGCATCGATTATTACTGACATCGAATGCCTTCAGCATTGTGAGACGAGCCGATATCGATAGGCAGTGGATACAACACCCACGCGACGACCCCCTTACAACGTAATCGGCTTATTAGGATTTTACCACACGCATATGTGATTATGATGTCTGGCATTTACAATGTGAATCTCGTCGTTTAACTATTTATATAGTTGCGAAAATTGAATTTCTGTTAGTATAATTCGTTCAGACTATAAAAGAGCTCGTCTAATAGCTTTTTGAATTGCTTCATCGCCTTGTACTCCTTGGCGCCACGCGTGGGACGAGATGAGAAGTTGACTGATTACGTATTTAAAATATAACTGTTGCAGTACATGTTCTGTAGTTTGGTATTTTTATTATACACCGGCTGGGCTTATTTGTTTTACATAATTATTATTTACAAAATTCCATTGGCTATATTAAACTGAACATATTTATAAATGTAACATGATTTTATATTAATTTGTGTCAATGATTTAATGTGAAAACTATGATATTTATTTCCAATACTTTTATCTCTGGTACATTTGTTACTATGTCCCACTCGCCACAGTCCAACTTTGTCTATTTTATGTTCGAACAAAGTGAACTATTTCAAATGCAGCTATATTTCCAGTTCTCGTGCTAACAAACTTAGAAAGTTTATTTCAAGTGATCTTTTGTTAACTCAGCAAATTCATTCTAACAAACCACACAAACATTAAATCAGATAAAGCAAAATTTGTTGTATATTGTTGGTGAAACACGAAAACAAAAACACAAACATATTATTTAATTTTATATTACGAGCGTGCAAGTGGCAAGTCATGTCTTTAACGGTACCACAGTTCATTTATCACTCTTGCAATGTTGAGAGATGTGACAACTCCTGCCACACGCGTCAAATATTTTGAAACGTTCAATGTATCATTTTGTTTTATTATTGGTGTTGTATATATATTTTTTAATATCCTGCATGGATCGGTAACATTATATTCGTTAAGAAGACGCGTGGTAGCGGACCACCCTTGCAACGGTAGCAAGTGCTCGCGGCCGTATCTCGTGAATCGGAGCACGAGGTCGTGCGGCGTGCGATAACGTCTGAAATATAAATATCTTCGCATTACCAGCCGAGCGCCACCTAGTATTTCAATGTAAATATATATGACACCTCCCTTGAAACTCGGATCGCATTTATTGTGCATCTCGTATAATATTAGCGTATTTGTAAAACCATCTCTGCGGTTTACCAGAATATATGAAACTTATTAAAGTTTAGACACGTATAATCTTAAACAGGAAAACTATACTCGTAAATTACTTTATTTATTTAAAAAAAATAACACAACTAAATAAATACATATTTAAATTAAGGTCAATAACAACAATTGCATAATTAATTAAATAGATAAAGCATTAGTTATGTTTGTAAACGTGGCGCTAACCACAGAAAAACCAGTCGCTTAAAACGCGCATCTCACTCAATCTACACAGACACCGATAACTGGCCATTACAAATGAACACGCCGACAGATACTAGCATGCTCACAATTAATTGAAACTACCCACGTAATCTAATAAGAGCTAGTTTTGATGTTAGAGACAAACAAGGGCGATCGTTCGTTCGTTCATTCGTATTAAGAACTTAATGAACATTCAGAATATTATGTCCGTCACCGTGAGAAGTCCGATGATAACCACGAATTGTGTCAATGTAATTAAAAGTGTAGCTGCCGATAATCTGAGACGTGTGGATCGAATCTACTAGTTTTGATTGCTATTGACGAACCAGCGCAACTAGAGCTCTATAGCCGCCGCAAGTGTACGCTAATGAGGTGTCAATGAATAGCATCGTTCAATAAACATGTTACACATAGAGAGTTGAAATCAAAGCGAACTTTAATTGAAATCGTATGTTGTGTCCAGCTTGTGATAAGCGTTCAAATAATGTTGATGGTTGATGGGTCAGTTACGTAAGAGCACTGCGAATAGAATAGAAAGTGATAATTTATATTGTCTCTATATAATATCAATTATTATATTTAATACAAAAGTTAAATTGGAAATACGTAAACTTTACAACAGATCATGATTGATGTCGTATTTACTCGAGAGTCTGAATACAATAGAATGAGAATTAGTAAGTTTTATAGCGAGTTTTATAAAGGCACAACAAAACTTTACGATCACACATAAAGTAATACAATTAGGCAATGGGCATACATTAACACCTCACCGAGACGATTCTCCCACACAACATTTCTACTTATTATTGTACCTACATCAAAGTTTACAAAACCTACTTGAAATTGCCAGCCGTGAGAGTGTCGTACCGGACAAATGGATTCATTACAACTTTATTATATAAACCTTTTGAGAACCACAAGAGACCCTTTCAATGTAACAAACCTTTTGAAAAGCTTAATTTAATAAAATCCCATAACACCAAAATTTACTTTAATGTTCACTTACCGTCATTCATTTGAAGAAAGCTATCAACGGTGTCCATAAATCTAAAAAGAAATAAAATCAAAATGTTAAAATAATATGAAATAATTAAACACAAACAGGTCATCGAAAATATTTAAGATAATTGAGTTCATAATGCAACAATAACATAATTTATTTGACGGCAATGAAATTATGATAATATGTAAACACGAACTAACAGCAATCATTGTAAATGAATAATTAAATGACAAAGCTCGTTATCATCGTACTTTATTGCATTACATCACAATATAATACCTTGTTCCTAATATCAAAATATCGATAAAACATTGGCGAAGATGTAAAACGATATGTTACATGCTATACGAATATAATTTAATTGAATTTCACAAAAATGTTAAAACTACTAACGGCTGTCCAATATGAAATATTATCATGTATCGATCGCAGCGTGTCGCCATAGTTTAATCGATTTTTTTACACCTAAAACCGCACGATCAGTGGGCGTCCTAGAATTACAAGGCGTTTCTGCCGACCGACGGATTGCATATCTGACTGTTTCGTGAATTATGTTTGTTTACGTCATAACAAATGTCTTTTAATGTTGAAATGGAGGCGCCAAAATATTTGGAATGCTTTTATAAAAACGGAGAGGGACTTGATAGAAATTTATTTAAATTTCAATAGAGGTGAACGAAGCTTAGGGTTGTTAACGACGTGTTTGGTGAGATGGTGAAGGCATCGCGATGATTGAGCCTTGTCATGTAAAATCATAACCCTGTCGTTTAGCGTAGTTCAATAGTCGAGTAATTCCATAATAATCCCCTTTAGGGCAAGGTAACCTTAAAATTTACATAGACGTCAAAAATTAACATGTTAATCAATAAATATTTATACAGAAAACGTTTATTAATTAAATCAACAAATCAAATTCATAAATACCGTGAAACTATAAATTAACATAGTCCAAACCATTTAATAGTCCAAACGAGACTGATAGACAAACATTTCTATAGAAATGTAATCTTTACCCCAATAAGTACAAAACGAAGCCATCCACGACGTGTGGCGCCAGAGAATAAACAGTTTAATTATGCATAAAGTCACGACTCAACAAAATCATAGAAACAAGTTTTGTCTTACGCAAGTCCAACTTTTATTACCGAATCGAGTTTCTGATCAATTGTTTAATTTTCCATAGAAGCTGCTAATTGATTTTGAGAAACGAACTTTTAAATCTATATAAAACAAATCATAGAGGTAAAAATTTTAATAAACTTAAACGCTTACCTCTTTAAAAACTCGAAAATCAACACTTAAGTTCCTTGAAAATAAATTATTTATCTGTAGAATGTTCGATTCTTAAAACAAGTATAAATAACAAATATTCAACGCTCACCAAAAAACCATTCCGAGTCATTTATAATAACAAAAGCTATTCAAGGCTCCTTAAATATAATTACATTTTGTCACGAACATAAAGTAGGTAATAGAGTCAATAATAAACGAATTAAAAGATGAAATATTTTGCCGAACGAGAAGTATATCTTTAAAAATTATTACGTACGACGAGATCTACAATGAGATTGGACGACTTTAGAACTTTGGATTAAACTTTCTAAGCATTTCCTGGTCAGGCAGCACGGACGTTATTATTTAAGAACTGTCAGAATTATATATTTTATTGCTGGTACGGGTAGATCGAAGCAACGTGAATTACATGCTTTCTTATTTAATATTAGTTGCGTCTTACGTTTGTGAGATAATTTATATCCACATCGTTATCTGAACGTAGGATCGCTCCCTGTTATAATCCGAGTATTTTTCATACAACCATACCGCCGTGACTGTGACTCTACTAGAAAATTTATTTAAGCGCGTGAAACGTCTCCGCAATTATTATGGGCTTTAACAATTACAACAGCCGGCTACCTTCGGTCTTCGATTGCGTGTCAAAAACGTTATATGAGATATCATATAGCAGTATTCAATACAAGATCATTATCGGTGCGAGATCTCCAATAGGTAATCTCAGATAACCAATCACTCTTTAAGCTCCAACCCGTTTTAAAATTAAATAAGAATGCGAAATGAATACCTCTCCAATATCACAAAATATAAACAAAATATGCAATTTGAAGTTATCGTTCCGTAATATCCTATTTATATTATTTTTATTAAAATTACTTAATCTTTGTTGTATTCGTGTTTGGTTATTTATACATAATTTAAAACATTGCTCGGAGAATATTAAACTTGTGTTTAAATAAATCTCTACATTGAAAAAGTTAATTTGTTAAAAATAACTCGAAAATTAACCATTATTTTTTTAAGAAATTTCACTGTTATTTAATTTAATCGTATTATGAGAAACGTATCAAATCCCAGGCTATATAATATAGTCCGTCAGGTTCACAACATAACTGAATACGTGATCTAGGTGCATCCATCATGGTAGGTGCGTACAACGTACAACTTGGACTACACGGAGAGTGCTTGAAACTGAGATAATAGGAGACATCTCGATACAAGGACAGATAAAGAGGGGTTCCCATGGGTTCTATGGCGTCCTTAAAATTCGAACCGTGTCGTGGTAAACGGGCCAAAGGTTAAAACATGTATCGCCATCACAGAAAACAATTGGATAAATAAACAAAACATATAAAAATGTCAATATAGAACAAATGTGTCAAAACGGTTTTA